TAGTATATCTCATCGTGTTGATTTCATCAAGGTTACACATTCAATTTTATCACTAACTTGTTACTTTGTCATATAGTATATCTCATCGTGTTGATTTCATCAAGGTTACACATTCAATTTTATCACTAACTGGTTACTTTGTCATACAGTATATGTCATCGTGTTGATTTCATCAAGGTTACATATTCAATTTCATTGCTAACTTGTTACTTTGTCATATAGTATATCTCATCGTGTTGATTTCATCAAGGTTACACATTCAATTTTATCACTAACTGGTTACTTTGTCACACAGCATATGTCATAGAGATGTTTCAACAAAGATAAATGTTCAGTTCATGCTATCTATACTAGAAGTGATGTTCTCATCTTGTGAGTAGAGAACCTTCTTTATTTAGTTCATGGTTTCTGTAACAGAAGTGGTATTCTTATCTTGTGATCAAAAAGAACTTAGCTCAAGCTACCTTTAATAGATGTGGTGTTTTCTTCATGTGAACAGAATAGAAATATTGAGACATTTATTTACATAAGAAAAGGCAAGAATCATACATTTTAAGGTTTCTTAATTCTGTACAAAAGATGATTTATTTTATGAAAAGTTAATAGTTTTTACAAACTTTATGCACAAGTAATATTGTAAATAACAAAACCTAGAAATTATAGTTTTGAAGTGTGGCTTTATTTTTTATAGTCAGCCAGTAACGTGTGGATCAGTGATTCGACTTGAACACATAGCAACCAACAAGAATCTCCACAGTCATCATTTTCCATCACCTTTGTCAAATAACCTAGAAGTTAGTGCTTTTGGAGATGATGGTAAAGGAGATACTGGTAAGATGTTCTTTTCTGTAGTTTCTTTCTGTCATCATTTCTTATCTTCCCTGAGACTAGTTTTTAACAAAAAAAACATCTAACAATAAAGTTGAAGAGGAATTGAAGTTTTAGAGTCAAAAGTCAAAAACTTGTGTGAGCATTGTGAAGCAAAATTATATAATACTGTGAGTATATGTGAGGTGAAATTTTGATGTTTAAGAGGTGTTTTCATGTACATTGATTTATTCTTCTTACATGTTCTCTAATGCCTGAAATTAATTTCCTATCAGTTGGAGATACCTTTGAGGTCATAATGTCACTCTTCATAACCATTGTGTTTACATTGATCTGTTTTGCTTTCTCTGTACACATTTTAATATTTACTGATATAATTTCACACTGTTGATTTGAATCTTTTAGTCAAAGGCATATCTAGAGAAATCACAATGGTAACATGTATACGGGTACTAACATTTTAGCATTGACAGTGAACTATAAGGTAAGCCCACATAAAATGATAGCCTTAATATGCTGATTGTGAATGCAGAAAGAATATTGACACCTTTAACAATTCCCCTGGAGGTGGATTCCTATACATGGTGAGGGGACCTCCCAGGGAAGGTTCCTTATTTTAAGTTTACGTCCTCAGAAATCTGAACATCCACCCATGTGTTTGCCATGCGTGGAATCCCACAAAGGGGAGAAGAGGATTCTGGTGGTTGAGGGGTGTCATTGCTGGGTCAGTTTATGTCAGTAGCACTTTAACACACAACTTTGGCCTTGAATTCCTGGAGAGTCACTCAGCTGGTCCTGTTGGGCTAGGGTCAACTAAGTACCAGTGTTGGATGTTTTCAACAAATGTTTGTGGACATTGTGTCTAATGCTGGTATTTGGGTATTGTGCCCATGAAATGCTGGTGTAGATGCCTTGTCTATGTAGGGGATTGTAGTGCATCCCCTCATAGGACACCATGGTTGATGGGGTCAGTGAGCACTGAATAACTTTCTTTTCTTATGGATCCCCAAATCCACAAAAAATAACACATTAAAAACACGGTTAATTGATAAGCAACCACACATATGGAGGACTCTGTTCCACAGTCACCACGAAATTTGTTTCCTGTACCTCAGTTTCTCGTTATTCATTCTGTAACTGAGATATCATTAGGGCAAATGTCTCCCTTCTTGATTCAAAAGAGATTAGAAGGGCTTGCTGGTTCTCCAAAGTCAGTCAAGAATTTGCATTCTGGGCACATCTTGGTAGAAACATTTACACCACACTATAGGGAACTCCTCCTGAGGTCAAAGGCCATTGGGGACATCCCTATTGAGGCTGCTCCCCATGTTACTTTGAATTTTTCACAAGAAGTTATCATTGGGAGGGATTTGAAGACCATCCCCAAGTCAAAGCTCCTTGCTGGTTTCTCCAGCTAAGGAGTTTCAGCTGTGTGATGCATCTCCACTCGAAAAGATGGAATACTGCAGCCTCTCAGTGTTCTGATTTTGTTGTTTACATTGCCACGTCTGCCTGCCACTATTATGGCAGGTATTCTGAACTGTAAGGTGTAGCCTTATATTCCTAACACTATCAAGTGCTTCCAGTGTCGGGGGTTTGGCCATTCTAAGGCATCTTGTCATGGTTCTTTGACTTGTGCTTGTTGTGGTAGCAAAGACCATGATGCTTACAAGTGTAAACTAGATCCTCACTGTGTCGATTGTGGTGGTTCCCACCCCTCATAATTTTCATTCTTGCCTTAAGTGGGTGGAAGAAAAAGAGGTACAGCATTTAATGACTGTAAAAAACATCTCTTATCCTTAGGCTCAGAGGTTGTTGTCCCCAGTTCCATCACGGAAATATTCTGCTGCACTACATTCCACTGCTGCAATGGAAGTGCAAAAAGACCTTTCTGTACCTCCATCAGATTCTTTCTCACGCCATGTCAAGAGTCTTTTGCCCTCTGTGGATGCACAAGTTCATAAGTCTATGTCTACTCCTGTCTCTGTCCCCACCATTGCTTCCAATGACTGCTTGGGTCCATCTTCTTCGGCATCGAGGTGCACAAACATTATTTGGTCATACCATCAGTCATTGAAGTTTCCTTCTTCTGACAAATATCTGCCAAATTAACCCAGGGCAGGTTCCATGGAGGTTGACATACCTCTTTCTACTAAAGAAAAATGTTCTAGTCACAAGTAGAAGGGTTTTCCAGCCAGTTCTTCTCCACCTAAATAAAAATGGCCATTTTGATACAATGGAATTGTCAAGGTTTCCATTCTAGTTTGAATGACACTAAAGTCTTGACTGATTCCTATCATCCCATATGTGTCTCCTTTATGCTATCGTAGAACAATTGCCATCTCCCTTTTTCATCTTGGGAGACTTTATTGGACAAAGTCCACTTTTGGGTGTTGCTGATATTTATGGGAGGGGTCATTCTGTATAGCATATGCTCCCAGATCACAACCTTTCTCTCTTCAATACTGGTTCTTTTATTATTTTCATGCACCTACTCAGTCTTTTACTGCTATTGATCTATCTATCTGTTCTTCTTTGCTTTTTTCTTGGAAGGTTGACAGTGACCCACAGAGCAGTGATCATTTTTCCATCGTTTTTAGGAAGGTTGGCCATGGTTGTTGCCACCCATCCCGAATGCCATGGTGGAAGTTGAAGCAGGTTGACTGGCTCTCCTTCACTACTCTCTCAGAACTTGATCGTGCAGTCATTAGTCTTTTATCTATTTACGACTGGGCAGAAGAAGTAACTGATTGTATAATTCAAGCAGCTGTTCGTTCTATCCCCAAAACCTCGACACTTTTCCCACAGTATCCTCATCTATGGTGGTTTCTTTCCCACCAGCAGACTCAGAAAGTTCAGAAACAGACCTGGGATACCTTTCGCAAGCATCCCACTCTTTCCAACCACGTTGCTTTCCAGCAGGCTCATGCCCAGCATGGATTAAGTTCATCACCAGCATCTCTTCTACTACCAGTTCCAAAATCATCTGGGACAAGACTCAGAAGATCAATGAGAAGTATGCTTCCTATCACCTATCCATCTTGCTGTCAAATGGCCATGAAGTTGCTGATGTGCATAGTATTGCCAATACTCTCAGAGAGAGCTTTGCTTATCTTTTCATCACTTCTGTCTTATCTCCTGCCTTCTTGGCCATCAAGTCACAGGCTGAGTGATCGCCCCTTTCCTTTCAGGCTGATTGTCTCTATGATTATAATCCCCCTTTTATACTGGTGGAACTTAAGCTTGCTCTTCATTGGTTACACCTGATGACATTCACTATGAGATGCTGTGCCATCTCTCTCCTACCTCTCTTGCTCTCTATTCTTTTGGTTGTTTTTAAACAGATCTGGCAGGAAAATGTTTTTCCAGATGCTTGGCACAGGGTTATTGTTCTTCCTTTCTCAAAGCCAACTTTTGACAATTATTGACATAACCTCCACTATGCCCAGATTTTCCTGAATAAAACTTAGAATTTAAATTGTATCTCTGAATGAAAATTAGGACCAGTAGTTTTTCAACATTAATTATTTTCTTTATAAACACCTATATTAATATTTGTTACAAGATATATATACATATCAATATAGTTTATTGCAGTTTCTCAAACAAGGTAACTATTAAAAGGGTTTATTGTATTTCAGGAGATTATTGGATGGTGGTGTGTAGTTCAGATTACTGGGAAAGAGATGGGAAAATCCGGTTAAAACATGTAGATACTGATGGGTAAGTATTTATGTTACAATAAATGCACAATAATCAGAAATAGTGACATATCTTGTTCCAGGATGATTGTGAGGATAAGTAATGTAACAAGATATATACTAATCAGACATAGTAATGTACCCCAATCCAGGATGGTACTGATGGATCAGTAATGTAACAACAAATACACAAATCAGACATAGTAATATACCCCATTGTAGGATGGACTGATGGGTAAGTAATGTAACAAGATATATACTAATCAGATATCATATAATAATGTACCCCATTCCAGGGTGGATTGATGGGTAAGTAATGTAACAAGATATATACTAATCAGATATAGTAATGTACCCCATTGTAGGATGGACTGATGGGTAAGTAATGTAACAAGATATATACTAATCAGATATAGTAATGTACCCCATTCCAGGATGGTACTGATGGATCAGTAATGTAACAACAAATACACAAATCAGACATAGTAATGTACCCCATTGTAGGATGGACTGATGGGTAAGTAATGTAACAAGATATATACTAATCAGATATAGTAATGTACCCCATTGTAGGATGGACTGATGGGTAAGTAATGTAACAAGATATATACTAATCAGATATAGTAATGTACTCAATTCCAGGATGGTATTGATGGGTTAGTAATGTAACAACAAATACACTGTAATTAGGCATAGTAATATACCCCATTCCAGGGTGGATTGATGGGTAAGTAATGTAACAAGATATATTCTAATCAGACATAGTAATGTACCCCATTCTGTTAAATTCAGTTGAAATTTGGGGTCATAGTCCTCAAAATCATGAAGCTGTTTTCTCTTTAATTGAACTTAAGATTAGCTATTTTTTGAAGGTTACTATGGATTATGTTCATTTGTCCTTTACTTATTATAAGAAAGATATTTCTGTAATTAAAGGGTTAAAGATTGTCAATTATAAATGGAAGTTGGAAGATTTTAGAGTATTTTTTGCATGAGATGGAACTGTGGATAAGAAATACATTATATATCACCTTTCCAAGCTAACTTAAGTTAATAATGCTTGGAGACGGTTTGAATGGGTAATGAAGAAAAACTTTGAAGTTTAACATAACAGCAAATGTACAATGTTTCGACAAAGTTTTGTCATCATCAGGTACTTAAGTTAATTATCTGTCATAAAATCATAGCTTAGTTGTATAAAATAAAGAAACTCTTTAATGAATTCATTGCTTTTTATTTTATTAGTCTTAAGTTTCTGCAATACTGTTCTAGGTGGTTGTTTAAAAAAAAAGCTACTCTTTATGTTATGTCTTTTTATTTTTGTAAAATATGTTAAAGTTTATTTTGAACAAATTTGACAAAACTTCCTGAGTGCATTGATAACCACAGTGAGAGATACAGAACCTTGATAAGGAATGAGTGGTACTTGTAACAAAAGTTAAGTGTGTGTGGATACAGAACCTTAGTAAGGAGTGAGTGGTACTTGTAACACAATTTAAGTGTGTGGATACAGAACCTTAGTAAGGAGTGAGTGGTACTTGTAACACAATTTAAGTGTGTGGATACAGAACCTTAGTAAGGAGTGGGTGGTACTTATAACACAATTTAAGTGTGTGTGGATACAGAACCTTAGTAAGGAATGGGTGGTACTTGTAACACAATTTAAGTGTGTGTGGATACAGAACCTTAGTAAGGAGTGAGTGGTACTTGTAACACAATTTAAGTGTGTGTGGATACAGAACCTTAGTAAGGAGTGGGTGGTACTTGTAACACAATTTAAGTGTGTGTGGATACAGAACCTTAGTAAGGAGTGGGTGGTACTTGTAACACAATTTAAGTGTGTATGTGGATACAGAACCTTAGTAATGAGTGAGTGGTACTTGTAACACAAGTTAAGTGTTCAGATACAGAACCTTAATAAGGAGTGGATGGTGCTTTTAATACATGCAAAGTGTGTATTTCTGGCTAACAGTGTAATTTAAGTAACCTAAGATACCTTAGTTTTATATTATATTAAACAGATTTAGGTGAGAAGGTAAAAGCCCACTGAATCCCTCCACTAACCTACTTAATAGAATATTAATCTGTTGAGCTTTAACATTTATGATAATTTTGTTTATAGATTAAAACTTTTGTTTATTTTCAAGCTGGTTAACTGTGTCAGGACACAGCTATGGTCGTCCAATCCACGGACAATTGGAAGTTTGTACTAAACCTAATTCAGACAGTTCATCTTATTGGCGAACAGTAGAAGGTGTTTACATCAAAGCTGAAGATCCACCGGTTAAACTTATCCATCAACACACTGAACTTTAGACTCAAGATTGTGATTCTACCAATGGAAGACTTGTTTGTGTTTTGTGCACCTTATGTTATTGTCTGTCTGTCTGAAGGCATAAAAAATGTGTATGTATACAAAACCTCATTATGAATTTCAGTCAGATGTACTTCAATAAACTGCTTTTAATACCTTCTGATATCACATTTTGTGCAGTGTTAAGATTAAACAGTAAATATTTTATCTCGTGATGTGTATTGAATGAAAGACAAGACATTTTAAATAAAGTTGTAGATCTATAACTTTTTTGTGAAACTTGCTACTGCCTGATACATATGTGAGCATAAAGATTTGTGCAATACATACAACATCAAACTGTGTACTGAATAATTTTAAATAAATAAAATGAAGTATTAAAAACTTTCATAATATTTCTAATTGAACATGGCATTGTGTAAGTGTTTTCCATATTTGACTACTGATGTAGACTTTATATTTACTCAGACTTCAGGTATCTTCACAAAATGTTCACTTTTCCAAGTACTCCTTTCTTCAATACTTCAGTTACTTTAGAAAAAACAAAAATCTTCTTTCACTAACAAGATGACCATTTTCTAACAAGAACAAGCATGAAGTTAAAACTTTACCTTTCAAAAATATAGTTCTTTGCACAACAAATATCAATTTGGAAAATATCTACTGTTAATTCTACTGAATTACAAATGTCAGAAACTACACAGCGTGGTCACAAGTAAATAGACACCACCTTGTCAGAAAAAATGCAATTTTTCAGTCATATTCACATGAATTGATATATTTATAATTTAATTAATATCTAGTAGATCTTCCTTTCGCTTTGTGGAGTTCGTTGATCCTTTGGGGCATCGTGAGAATCATCTCGTCAATTTTAGATTGTGAGATTTTCGCCCACCCTTGCTTCAAAACTTGAAGTAGATCACTCTTCGAAGTTGGTTGCTTCTTGACTTGCCGGTCGAGTATGGCCCAGAGGTTTTCGATGGGGTTTATGTCAGGAGATTGGCTCAGCCAGGGCAACTTCTGGATACCGTTTTCTTCCTGCCACTTTTGGGTTTTCTAGCAGTGTGACATGGTGCTCCATCTTCCTGGAACAATGTTGTGTTCTTGTCCACGAAACCCAAGGAATAAAGTGGCAAGAGTCCTTCCTCCAACATTTTGACATATTTCGCAAAATTTATGTTGCCAACGCAATACACTAAGCTCTATCTCCCACCAACCCAAACAGCTCCCCAAACCATCACGCTGAAACCACCATGCTTCACAGTTGGCTGCAATCTGTTGAGCCAAAACTCTTGGTGAGGCATTCTCCAGACCCATATCCTTCCACTGTCCAAAAATTGAGCGAATCTTGATTCGTCTGAGAACAATACGGTCTTCCAAAAGTCCAGAGGCTTGGTCATCATATCACTTGCCCACTTCTTTTGTCTGACTATGTTGGCAGGTCTTAATAAGGGCTTCCGTCTAGCTGCTCTGCAATGATAACCCAAGATGTGGAGAATCCGTTGAACAGATTTCAGGCTCATCCCACCAACTTTGACCACTTCTGCAGTCGTTAATCTGGGATCCATTTCGATGCTCCTCTTGACAGGCCTTTTTGTCCTCTCCAATGGACCTGGACGCTGCTCAGTTGTTTCCTTGCTGTGTTTCCTGAATTGCACGATGATTCTGTTGACTGTTGAAAGCGAATTCCCAAATTCTGTGAAATTTGCTGCTGACTTATTCCACCATCTGCTTGACCAACTATCCTTCTTCTAACAAAATCTGACAGTTTGAG